ATATCACGTCGGTTTTTGATCCCCTAAGAGATAAGCAAAGTTACTCGCGATTCTACAATCGGTTTACGCAAAGACAACCCGAGCTGCACCAGTAACGCCATCTCGTGGGGAGTAGCGAAACTAACTTGAAACGCGGGAAATAGCAGTACCAAATTGAAACGGCTTCAGCTTAATTTACCACTTGATATGACAAAAAAACGATTTTAAACAATTATTTCGTACTTATAAGTTTTTATTTGTCTTCAGGGAATAAAATGCGTGACGATAATATGTAAGAATGTATGTATGTATAGCATAATAAAAAATCCTATCTTACTTCTGAAAATTGTGTTAAATATTTTGTTTATACTATAAATAAGTTGTTCTATTATTAACATAATTTTAGAGCTCCTTTCGCCTGTGACACAGGAATATTCCTAGTATAGGCATATTTATTTGTAAGATCTTGTCGCTTAATTAGGTTTATACTTATGTTGGCCATTCTTATTATGAATAATATTATCCATTATCCATTTTATAAAAAAAAACATGTTTTATATTATGTTTGTTTCGTTTCAACGTATTATTTATGTGGTTGTACTGTAGAATATATTCGCGGGGAAACAACCTGATTATTTATCAATCACTGTACATAAAACAAACCAAACTCATTATTTCATCAAATAATTCTAGGTATAATAATTCTATATCGAGTTCTAGTTAATTAATAAACAAAACGCCTGGAAGAACGTTGTTTAATATTTCACGTAAATGTAATTTGCTAAGAACTTTAATCTAGGCGCTTAGCCAATACGTACTTTATAAAGCTATACGTATACTTTTATATAAAGCGGAAGAGTTTGTTTTGTTTGTTTGTTTGAACGCGCTAATCTCCGTAACTACAAGTCTGATTGAAATATTTTTTTTTGTGTTGGATAGCACATTTATCGAGGATGGCTATAGGCCTATATATATTATTAGCAGCCCGTCCCGGCTTCGCGCGGGGTAGACATTTATTTATTTTTGGAAATTTGGATTGTTGTAGTGACATAACTAAAATAGTTAGAAATATGCTACCGCGGAGTTTTTTGTAGACATTATGATGTTCTTCAATATTGTTGTACATTATTTTGTTCTATCGCTAATAGACATTTAAGCATTTTAAGACTCATTTTTCTACACTTTCGGTTACATTGTTCAAATTTTACCAAGGATCCTTAATTTTTTTTCAAAATGAAATGTAGCCTATGTCAAATTGGACGAATGTAGCATTCTATTGATGAAAGAATTTATTAAATCGGCCTAGTACTTTTTGATCCTATTCATTACAAACATACAAAAATAGGTACAAATCTTTCCTCTTTGTAATATTAGTATAGATATAGATATAGATAAATCATCACGTTACGACCAATAGGAGCTGAGCAGAGCGTGTGAAACCGCACGGAAGTAGCTAGTAAATAATAAACTTGGATAACAATAAATATGTACAACTTAAAATTAAAACAGTAAAAAAAGAAAAAATATCGTCAAACAATTCGTCCGCATCAATATCACTGTTGAACGTTCCCATATTACTGGCAGCATTGTCACGTTGAATAGCAATGCTTATTTTCTGTCCGAAGTAACAGCCAGACTTCTGGTCACGAGTGGCGTCGATTAGCCTACGAGCAATTTCTTTATAAACCGAATGTGCCTCAATCCGGCAGTTGGAACTCGAGGTGGCGCCCCACAAGTCGGGGACAGCGTTTAAGCGCATCCTACCCAACCTCGGGGGGACAAACGCCTCCTGCCGGAGTTTATACGCCGGGATCGTGCAGTCCATGGCCCTCTACGGCGCCCCTGTGTGGGAACCGAACCTGCTGCTCGGGCCCTGCTCATGTCACAGAGGGTCATGGCGATCCGAATGATCCGCGGATACCGCATGATCTCCGAGGAGGCGGCGAACCTCCTTGCCGGATTACCGCCGTGGGATCTGGAGGCGCGCGTGTATCGCATGCGCACGGAGGCACGTCGCCGGGGCGAAACTCCGCTGCCGCGCCAGATAAGTGCGTGGCGGGAAGAGCCCCGGCGCGATCTCATGGCGGAATGGCAGCAACGACTGTCGCAACCGAGGGCTGGGTTCGATGCTATTGCAGCGGTAAGTCCCCTCTTTGATGAGTGGCTTGAGAGACGCTACGGCGTCCTCACCTACCGCCTGACACAGGTCCTCACCGGACACGGAAGTTTCGGGAGGTACCTGTGTCTGATGGGGCGGGTGAAAACGCCCGGGTGTCATCATTGCGAGGACCGCCCTAAGGACACGGTGGAACACACTGTAGCGGAAGGAAGCCCTGCATGGGCTGAGCACCGCCGTGCCCTCAGGGACGTGATCGGCGATGGCGACCTCTCGCGTCCGGCCCTAGTGCGGGTGATGTAAGGGGTGATAACTAAAACGCCCTTATTTCTGATATAAAAAGCTGTACTAATAAATAAGGTCCTAGTACCCATTGGCATTGTAAGTATTACAGATTAATTATAAAGATTTTCAAAGTCAAAGTCAAAGTTATTTATTGCAAACATGGGTAATAAGTACATAATACAGGATGAAGCATATATAATAATAGTGCGCTATGTTTCGCGTGTCGGCATGCAATTAAGAAAATGTCAGATTCAATTTCATTAGTGAGAAAAACAATATAAATGGACTAAATGATAACAATATATTATATAATTAATAATGTCAAACAGAGAAGTCTATAAACACTACAATTATCAGTTCACAGTCACCTTACATTTATGTCAATATTAATTCTTATATTCCTATACTATATAATATTACTATACAATAAATTCATATCCTAAGTTTAAATGAGTAGGTGTGCGTTAATTATTTGCTAGATGGATTTATCTTGTAGGTACTCATCAACACTATAATAGGCCTTGTTTAGCATTATATCCTTAATTTTGCGTTTGAGTAAGTCATTATATATACTCCTAACGCACTTTTTCTGCGCTAGAAACACTCGTTGTTTATCTGTAAAGTTACCCCAGAAGAGGACACCGTACCTCAATATAGATCCCACATATTCATGGTAGGCCGTAAGTACCGTTGATTGGCTAGCTACTTTTGAGAGCATTCGTAAGGCATAGGATTGTTGATAAAGTTTCTGGCAAAGGTTATCAATGTGATCTTTCCAATTTAAGGTACAATCTATTGTCAGTCCTAAAAATTTCGTTGTGTCTACTTCTGTAATTTCTGTTCCCATATAGTCAATATTAAGATTAGAAAGCATTGGTTTTCGATTTCTAAATGTCATTAGGTGTGTTTTGTTTATATTTATTTTTAAATTATTGGATGTCAGCCATAGTATTATATTATTAAGAGTATTAATTATGTCAAGTTTAAGTGCGTGTATATCCCTACTAGCAAAAATAAATGTACTGTAATTGTAATTTATTTATTTAAATCAATGTAGAAAGACAAATGGGCCAAATGCCACAGAAAGGAAGAGGTTTTCTTGAAAAACAATGAGTCTTGGTTGGTTGGAACATTTCAACTACCCCTAAAATCATCGAATCGGCCGGGAGAGCCTTCGAAATCATTTGACGTATTAAGTGAACGAAGCAAGCAAAGCAAATTTTCTTTTCATCATAATTTTGAAATGACTATGGTAGTTAGAAAAGTATGCAATGCTGCAACCGGAACAAAGTCTACTAGTCGGTGCTACATATGTGGTGCAACATGGAAAGACTTCAACAACATTGAAGATACAAAGGAACGTCAAGTTTTACGAGTGTTAATAATTGGGCTTTCTGTATTGCATGCCAGAATTAGATTATGTGAAAGTGTTTTACATTTAGCATATAAATTACCAGTAAAAAAATATAGAGAAAGGAGGTCTGAGGAAGAAAAACAACTAGAAAAAACTAAGAAGCACATTCAAACATTTATTATTTTATTTTGTGTGTATTTATTTTGATAGAATAAATTTTTTGCCTTAATTTATAATTGTTTTACCTTAATTTATATTTTTTACCTTAATTTACTAAATAACCGAACTAAGTAAAAACAAATAGTCATAGGAGACATTTAATATCATGTAGACGTGATATACGTAAACAAATAATTTTGGCCGCGTAAATGTGGAATATTGACCTATGTGAAATCGGTCTCGGGAGCAGGGCGGGGGTATGGGATATGGGGATAATATAGTATCCCGCCGAAGTTTGACAGTACATTACTCCGCTCAGCAATACTCCTTGGCTCCCCAGCGCTGCCTCGATCTGCGCCAATAGACCTCCTTTATATGTTCTGTGAGACAGACACTCCGTAACTCCGCTTCGCAATACTCGCTAGCTCCGCTCCGCTGCCCCTCTCCGCGTCAATGGACAGGCAGCCTAGATGTGTCCTGGTACGTAGTGATTTTTCGAAATGTTCAAAAATGTGGTATAATTTTCAAACCGTGCATTTTCGTTGAACATACATTGGTTTGTTTAGATAGGTTTGATTGATCATTGACCAATTGATCCCGGCTGTCACCCCTTATGGTACACTATTTACCTAGGTGGTACTGGACATTTGTTTGTTGGTTTGCACGAGCTAATCTCTCCTTAACTACTACTGGTTCGAATTGAATAATTAGCAAATAAAAAACACATCACACTTCGACCATGGGAGCCGAACTATAAAACTTTTCTACCTTTCTTATTGTACCTTGACTGTACCTACTTACCTATGTAACAAATTTGCATGGACAGTGATTGTACACAAATGAACGGAATATAGAGGTTGAATTTGAAAATGGGAGCTGAAGAGCCGGTGAAACCACTGGAGAAATAGGTACCTTATTTATTTATTTATTTCTTCACAAAAATAACAGTGAAAGGCGGACTTCCTTACTTCTGCATTATCGAAAATTAAAAAAACAAACGACAGTACACTTGTATATTTCTCCTTAAAAAGACCAAACAATTACATAACATTTTTTAGTCCTAATAAAATGAAAATGACCTAAAAATAAATCGTTACAAATTCATTATTAGTACTCTTCACCGCCCTCTCCTTCGCCTTCTCCAGAGTCCATACCGACTTCTTCATAATCCTTTTCGAGTGCAGCCAGATCTTCACGAGCTTCCGAGAACTCTCCTTCTTCCATACCTTCGCCGACATACCAATGGACAAACGCTCGCTTCGCATACATCAGATCAAACTTGTGGTTGAGACGCGACCACGCTTCAGCAATGGCGGTCGTATTTGACAACATGCAGACTGCGCGCTGTACCTTAGCTAAGTCGCCACCAGGCACCACGGTGGGAGGTTGGTAATTGATGCCTACTTTGAAGCCAGTCGGACACCAGTCAACAAACTGAATAGTTCTCTTTGTCTTGATAGTTCCAATAGCAGCATTAACATCTTTTGGAACTACATCCCCACGGTAAAGCATGCAACACGCCATGTATTTGCCATGTCTTGGGTCGCATTTAACCATCTGATTTGCAGGTTCGAAGCATGCATTAGTTATCTCCGCTACAGATAGTTGTTCATGGTACGCTTTTTCAGCAGAGATAACAGGAGCATACGTTACGAGGGGGAAATGAATTCGTGGGTAAGGTACCAAGTTTGTCTGGAATTCTGTTAAATCGACGTTCAGGGCACCGTCAAACCTTAATGAGGCAGTGATAGACGATACAATTTGACCAATCAGACGATTTAGATTAGTGTATGTTGGCCTCTCAATGTCCAAGTTCCTCCTGCAAATATCATAGATAGCTTCGTTGTCCACCATAAAGGCGGCATCGGAATGTTCCAATGTTGTATGTGTTGTTAAGATAGAATTGTAAGGTTCTACGACGGCGGTTGAGATCTGCGGGGCAGGGTAAATCGCGAATTCTAATTTAGACTTCTTACCATAGTCAACGGACAGTCGTTCCATTAGCAGGGATGCGAAACCGGAGCCGGTACCGCCTCCAAAAGAGTGAAAAATGAGAAATCCTTGCAAACCGGTGCATTGGTCGGCTAGTTTCCGCACCCTGTCAAGTACCAAGTCCACAATCTCTTTGCCGATAGTGTAGTGCCCCCGAGCGTAGTTGTTGGCAGCATCTTCTTTACCCGTAATCAGCTGTTCCGGGTGAAATAATTGACGGTAAGTTCCTGTACGCACCTCATCTACTACGGTAGGCTCGAGGTCTATGAACACTGCTCGAGGAACATGCTTGCCTGCACCGGTCTCGCTGAAGAATGTATTGAACGAGTCATCGCCCCCACCGACGGTCTTGTCAGAGGGCATCTGCCCATCAGGCTGGATGCCATGTTCTAGGCAGTACAGCTCCCAGCAAGCGTTTCCAATTTGCACACCAGCTTGTCCGCCGTGTATAGATATACATTCACGCATTTTTTTTAATCTAAAATTGGATAAAGTTACTTAACAAATAGATCTTTCACTTCAAAGCTTAAATTCAGCACCTACTGGATCGATTCCAAAGTTTAAACTGTACAAAAAACGAATGACATTCTATTCTACAATCTAAATTCAAATTGAAGTTTTTAATGTGAAATAAATGATGGTTTTCTTTGCAGCCTGTTAGGGCAATATTATCCTTAGTATACATCAGTAAAGCTCACCATTAATTGAAAGCCACATATTACCAAAAACGGGAAATACCTATCAGCTTGACTTTAGTCGATTTAACATGAATTAAATGTTAAATCGAATCAGATTTAACACGAATTAAATGTTATTATTAAATTATTATTATTTTTTAACATATATGTTTTAATATTATATAGGAGTCTTAATATTACACTTCTTATTGAAATAAATAATTAAAACTAAAACTATTACACCTTAAAAAATTATAATAATGAAAAAATAATAATAATGAAAAAATCATAAGGCTTCTCTCGTAGCTTTCTGCCTCGCACAGCAAAACTGGAATGATCTGTCGTCGGCGGTATTTCCCAAGCAATACAACCTTCAAACCTTCAAGCAAAGAGCGTAAGTAGTAGGTACTTTTTTAAGCTGACAACGCACCTGTCACTCATCTGGTGTTGCAGGTGTCCATGGGCGGCGCTGATCGCTTACCACCAGGTCAAAGAGTATAATAAGTATAGGGGCTTACGACCAGGTGATCCGTCTCCTCGATTGCTTCCTATTCCATAAAAAAAATATACCTAATTTCTTTATAACATAAATATTGAATTGTTTAAATAGGTCTTGGACCCAGCTATCTCCCTAGTCACATTATGGTGCACTATTTACTGGACACCTGTATATAAGATAAAAAATGAATTATCGATCCAGGACACTATTAAAACACAGGATATAGAGTGTAGTAGGTATGTATTTATTATAGAATGATAGAAAGTTTTATGTTAAGTACCTACCATTTGTAAAATTATGATAATGTAAACCTTAATGAAAGTAAATTTACTTATTATTTGTTATAGGTGGTACAACCACAGAAAATAAATTTACTGAGCTATTTGTGAAGAAAGTGGGGGAACATTGAAAGAAAGAAAGAAAGAAAGAAAGAAAGAAAGAAAGAAAGAAAGAAAGAAAGAAAGAAAGAAAGAAAGAAAGAAAGAAAGAAAGAAAGAAAGAAAGAAAGAAAGAAAGAAAGAAAAATAATTTATTCACCACCAGACATGGACCACCGAATAACACACAAAATAACATTGAAAAACAAAAAGAACATGAGATAAAATAAAAAAAACAGCAGTAAAAAATAATGAAGGCAAAAAAAAACATAAAAAAGCAAAATAAATAACAGCAGGCTTACTCTTGATTTTAATTCCGATCGATCGACATTGGAATTTGAATGTTTCGTACTCTTGAGTTTGACACTAGCGCCACATTGGTTTTTCAATTGTGTGTCTTTAAAAGGTCATTTATTCAAATAAAAAACTATTACTTAAAAAAATTAAAACTAAATATTACTAAATTAAATACCTATATACAACTAAAGATTAAAATAAATTATAAGAAAAAAACAAAAACAACTATTTACATAAAGCATCGAAAAATTCGTCTATTATGTGAAACTAAATGAAATTAGGATTGGATTCGAATTGCAGTAAACGGTACTCTAGGGTACTCTTGAGCACGTTTTGACAGCTGCCAATTGCGCCAATATTGAATTGCGGCGATTGTTTGTTTATTGTGATTTTTTCAATAACAAAAGTGAACTTTTTAGAGATTGTTTTGCATTTTAAGTGAATTTTCGTCGGAGATTACTGTATAATATGGCACGATTAGTCGTTATGTACAGTGTTTTACGTAATTCTCATAAAAAACAATTAAAACAAAGGCGAAATGAGCGTAGTGTGATGCGGTATATGGACAAAGCGTTTTCAATGAACGAAGTGGAGTTCCAGGCCAATTATAGAGTGACCAAGGATTTATATGGTGAGCTTTATGATAACATTAAGCCCTTTCTGCCAACTCATAAGAGAAAAAGTGACATATCACCAAAATCTAAGGTAAGCATACTAGGATCTTTCATTAAAAACTTAGCTCAACAATGATTTAAAAATACATAAGTGCTACTATCATAATAATATATTATCATAGCCAGTGAAATAGCCATAGGTTAATAACCAAATAATTCTTGCAGGTTTTAGTGGCATTATCCTTTTATGCTACTGGGAGCTACCAGAAACTGGTTGGAGGCACATATGGGACCCTAATGTCGCAGCAATCCGTATCTCGTGCTATATGAGATGTAACAGCAGCTCTAAACCATCCTGCAGTAGCAACCAAATGGATTAGGTTTCCTAAAATCACCAAGAAAGGGATGCTGTAAAAAGAAGGTAATGTTGATTACAATCAGCTGTTTATTTTCAAACTAACATAATTTGTTTACATTTTATTGCATATGTACAATAAATTAGCAGACTAATATCACCTTGTGTATAGGTACTCTATCAGTCAATTTAAGTACATATAATTATTATAAAAGTACTAAACAAACATAAAACTATGTACATACATTTTCTACCTAATTATTAACACTGTTTTTATTTCTTTTTATGAATTTGCTGTCAAACTTAACTTATTTTTGGGTTTCGGCAGTTAAAAATGTTGACAACAATAACATGTCTGTTTTGTACTTATTGTATGTAATGATTTTGTAAATAACGGTTTAACCAGGTATATTCTTTATGTTCCAGGTTTTATGAAAGATTTAATATACCATCTGTGATAGGGTGTACTGATGGTACACATGTAGCCATCATTAGGCCATCAGAAAATGAGGAGAGATTTTTTAACCGCAAACATTTCCATTCAAGGAATGTTATGATTGTAAGGCAATACTTCTCATTAAATAATTACATAACTTATTTGACTTGTTGTAACAACTTAATTTAATAACTCTTTTATATTATTTTCAGATAAGTGATGCAGATTTAATGATTCTGACAGTAGATGCTTCATATGGAGGGGCATCACATGACAGTTTTGTATGGAATCAGCATCCTGTGAAACAACATTTAATTGATTTAAATAATAATGGAGAAAATGTATTTTTACTAGGCAAGTATCTAAATGTTGTAAACAAGTCATCAGTCATATCTGCATTTTTCTGACTGGGAATATTTTTTAATTAGTTTTTGTTTCAGGTGATTCTGGATATGCACAGAGGGAGTACATGATGACACCGATTATTGATGCTCCTCAGGGTTCTCCCAAAGAATATTACACCAAACTGCATTGTACGGCACGGAATACAGTGGAGCATACCATTGGTGTATTGAAAAATAGATGGAGGTGCTTACTCAGGCATAGGGTGTTACATTACCACCCGGATGTAGCAGCTAAAATAATAAATGCATGTTGTGTGTTACACAACATGTGTTTAAATAGGGTAGATGAACATGTTGAGGACAATACAGCTGAAAATGAAAACGATTATCAAGATGTCACTGCCCAAGAATCTTCTGGTAGTAGCACAGCTGCTGAACTAAGACGAGGTATCGAAAAGAGAAATGCTTTAGTTCAGCAGTTGTGGGCGAGCAGAAGGTAAATGTTTTTATTTTAAATTTGTATTTGGCTTTTTTTAATCTATTGTATTCTTTTATCATTTCTGTATTTATTATAAATTAGTTGTTCTTTTTTATAATGTCACATAATTTTGATATAGTATTTTTAATCTTAATTATGTTATTAAGAAAGAATAAAAATACATTATAAAAAAAACTTTTATTTATTTTACCCATTTAAAATTATAACATAAACAATAATAAAAAAAATCAAATCCAATGTAACAAGGAAATCATAATTATTAGACCTACATTAAATCAATATATCAAATAGAACTGCTAAGGATTTGTCATTTTACTAGCTACATCTGAAATTGCATTAGCAATAGATGCAAAAGCATTAGCTATATTGCCAATATTTTCTGACAATTTAGGCATTGCTTGTGATGTAATTAGCTCTGCTACAACCCTGCGTGCTTCGATACTTGAAAACTGCTCCATTTGTGAATTCAGTGGCCTCGAAATCGACGATCGGCGCCGCCGGCGAGTTCGTGGTGCTGGTGGTATAATAGGTATAGAATTCTCAAGTGCAGGCGATGCAGGTACTGAAATGTAAAAAATACGTAAAACACTTTATTATAAAAAGTTAAATAAGTACTTAAGTTTAACATTCTAACAGTCATTAGAAGGTTACACATTAGTGCTTTCCCACTTGAGCTATGTAAGCACACATAGACGGCACATTCTAGTGTGACTAATTAGACTTCATGTTAATAAATTTATAAATTCAAATATACTTACTTGTGGATGAAGCTGGTATTGCATCAATGTGTGACATGCCAAGAATAGGAGAATTAGCTTGCATACTTGTTCTCCTGTTTCTACAATCTCTATCATTATAGGTAGCTCTGTATGACTACTGTGACTAGTCTGAAACCGTAAAATTATATCAAATTATTTTTGTTTAACTCGTCGAGTACCGGTTTTATAGACACAATTAAAGAACAATAGGTCGCGGTCACCGGTGACCGCTTGGTGTTTGACAGATTAATCAAATCTTATGTACCTACATAAATTATGTATAACCTATACATAATGAATTATCTATGACAAAAATTACCGATTGAGGAAATGGGTTGACTGCCAAACTTGTATCGCCTGTTGCAAATTCTCGCCCACCCATTACTGCCACCAATCTAGTATCTAAAGCGGAGAGCGCAGGTAAGTTGTCTGATGCTCCACCACCAGTGCGTCTCATTGAGGCTGAGAGTCCTGCACAATGTTTCCGTAGAGCGCATTTCTTCTCAGCCCAATACTAAAAAGAAAATGCATTCATTTTGATGAAATTGCTCTATTAATATAATAATAATTCAGATTAAAAGTAATGTTATGTAGCAAGTAAGTAGTCATTTTAATTACCTTCGCCCAAGCCCTGCCGTTTTTATTGGCACCTCTTAAAATTAATTTGACCAAAACAAGGGTCCTGGCTGAATGCTATGACTGCCATATCAAAAACATTGGTTTTTACAACATTGTTTACTACAACATACCGAATTTGGTTGATGTTTTAGGAGAATATTATATCTGTAGAACAACCGCTGTATTGTAAACAATTTGAATGGGTTACAGTATCCACATCTGGCACAGTACAATGGTCAATGGCCAAACAAACTAAAATAACAGATTTTATACATACAACAATGATATTGTTGTTTTTATTATAAGTTTGTATTGAAGTAAACAAAATGTGGTTTAATAACATATATTTTTTTTTCCTATTAATACCTGTCACTGGTTGTTACGACTATCGGTTTTTACGACTAAATATGAGTAGTCCCTTCATGACATTGGTGATAAAATTTCTACCACTTTTTATATGTTTGGCTGATAACTGGTTGAGAAGCCCCATGTAAATCAGGTGTATCGTTTTAAATCTACTTTTAAACGAATATTAATAATATGTACGTAAATATAGTAATAGGATTTTAATTTGTAACCGAGCTAAGCACTAAGTTTACAAACAACACTTACTTCAAGGCGAGCCTAGTTGCGCGGTGCGCAGACCATTTGAGCCCTGGGGCTCAAGAAGCATTCTCGAGGGTTGTGAGCTAGCTAAATTATCATTAATTCATAAGGATCATCGATCACAGATACACGATCGCGAAATATCTGCGTTCGACGAGATCTCCAAGTCATTTAAATCCATCAAGTCAATCGTATACGTATGTATTTGTAAAAGATTTGCAATCAGTCACTTAGCTTAGTAGGTAGCCAAAGCCAATAATATATAATATAACCTCAACTTTTTGTTGACAATTAGACATTGACATTTGACATTTGTCCATTGTCCCATAATATCTAGACTACACCTCGCACAGACTTAAAATCTTAAAATAGATAACTCAACATTGAACATGACCTAAGTGAAGCCAAAAACACACATGTGCAATTTATAGCCTTAAAGGGGCGGAACTAAGGTCGACATTAGAAATACAGGACATTATTATTATCTATATATATAAAAGAAAGTCGTGTTAGTTACACCACTTATACCTCAAGAATGGCAGAAAAGATTTGGCTGAAAATTGGTAGGGAGGTAGCTTAGAGCCAGGAGACCGACATAGGATACTTTTTAACCAAATTTTTTTTTTACTGTTTATCGAAAATCACGAACGGGGACGGGCAGAAGCTAGTACCTACATAAAGGTAAGCGTGTTTTTGAGATAAATAGTCAATATTTATAAATACTGCTCGCTCTGCAGTATTAAAAGACGACGACTGAGAAGACGGGTGAACAGGTAAATTCGTAAGTGGGCAAACCATTTTCCAAGCTAATTCAGAGGTTCTGTGGACCGATGACAAAAAAGCTGGTAAACTAATACTTGAAATTTTGCGGACGCCGAGCCCTCCCATACGAATTGGAAGAGTAGCTTGTTGCCAAGCTCGGTCATCCAAAGCCACATTAAGTATGGATGAGGATGACAATGTGTGTCTGATAATTTTGTCTACTTTTTCTAAAATTTGTGAATGTTTCCATAGATGTGAGGCGCGGAGAATATAAGTAAATTTTGGTCCAACCAAAATAACAGTACCGAATTAGGGTGAAAGCCGAATGTGTGTTGATGGCATGATTAGAGCATGTACCGCAGCCTCGCAGCCCCTTTGCAACCAAAGAATAGTTATGAGGGCTGAAATTTGCTGGTTAAGTACTCATTGTAATAGGCGCAGCAAATTTGCTGCGATACGCCAGTAAGTGCAATCTACAGCAATGGGACGAATACCATCCTCCTTACGCAGGGCATATAGGTTAGCCCCGTATATGAAATCGATGACGGGTTCGTTCACATTGCCGGAGAGGATTAGATTGATTAGGGCCGTCAATTCCTTCAAAAGGGACTCACCATCCTCCCCGGCGCTCGAACACATTAGGTCTTTTAAATGTTGCGGTGTCAGTCCGTCTATACCGTCAGCTGAACCCTTTCGCTGTTGGGCAATAGTAGAAAGAGAATGGAGTTGAGGGTTTGGTGGGTCAGGAAAGGTGAGGTCATCTGCCGGGGAAGGATGTTTACTCTGCATGGTTGTAACTACCTCTGCAGAGTGCGTAACAACCACATCACTACTTAATAGAACCCTAGCAGCACCACGGATATCGCCATCCGCTATTTTGGACTCCACATGATGTAACAAATCTTTGTGAGGAAAGTGTACTAATAATTTAGGGTCGAACGTTTGGATTTGAGAAAACAGTTATCTTTAATTTGGGTCGTTAAAGTTTTTTTGCTACCCAAATCTTTCTGTACTTGTAGTATCCTAAATTGTAAGGTTAATAATTGCTCCCAAGCACTCATAGTTCTCTCGAACCACGAGACCAATACAGCGTGCTAAACTTGAAGCTACGAATGCTCTCGCACCTCGAAGATCACGTACTCTTTAAAACTGGAGCTGTGTTTTTAAATTTAGATAAAGTTTGCCAAAGTTGTAGTTGCCGGACAGGGGTTGGTGAAGGAGCCGAGACTGACACTAGGCAAGGAGCTATAAAATCTGTGTTAGAGTCTTATGTATCAATCAGTGTGTATTTTAATAAGCAATAAATGTTTACTGATAACTTTTGCCTATTAAACTGGCGCCCAAGCTAGTGGCCGAACCGTATTCGACCGTTACGAACTAATCCAGTGCCTACGTGACCGCGGGTAAAGTATCTACTGACCCCAATCCACTCACCACCTTACCGTTGTCACATGTAATTAGAAGTAGTAATGATTATTCATTTATTTGTAGTAGTAATGTTTGTTTAGTTTTTTTAATGTATTCAATTTCCTTGACTACAAATGTATTAGAAATTATCTATGTACTCGACTGAAAGCGTACTGAAAGACTTGTATCTATGGCCATGAATAAAAAAAAATCCACTGACTTTATTCTTTGTATCCGTTAAAATCCGTTTTGTACCTGAAGCCAAAGAGTTTAGTTAGGTAGTAATTACGGGAACCTGAAACCTCCCTCTGTGCAATCGCTTGCAGCTGGCTTTGCCTTGGGTAATTAAATAATTAATGGCTAGGTACATATTTTCTGTTTGCTTGTCATGTCATGATTCTCATCTCATGATGGCGTCGGTACAGGATGCAGATGCAGAGCGTAAGTAAAAACTTTCTATTCTATTATACTGCTTGACTGGTTGTTGTTGCTGTTCATTATAGCTATTACCTAGATATTTTTTTGTACAATATCTCTTTTTGCTTTTATGAGCTAAACGTTATTTATAAAATTGAAACTATTTACTTTTTGTGTAGATAGTTTTTTTTATTAAGTAGATTTGGCGCCAAAGCGTCGTAAAGTAGATCGGAGTGAGCATCTAGGAGCAAAACTAAATAAACTAATTCCTACATCATGTGGAGGTAGATTAACGGCGCGTTTTTTATAATGCAGTCCTTTACAGGCCTTTTTTATGGGGGAATATCATCGAATGACTTCTCCCTCCTGGGTTAGGCGGGAGGGAATGTCAGACTCTTCGATACTGACCAAAAACCACCCCGTTCCTGCTTCTGTACTTCGAGCCAGAGCCCCGGTAACCCGTTAAGTTCACCGCGGCTCCGTGTCGGGATCAGCCCTATTAGGCCCCATTTGTGGTGGTCTGAATGGTTTGATGGCTCTTTGAGGCGCGCGCGGAACTCGACGCGCCGTAGGCTCGGGTCTATCCTTCACAGGCCTAATGCTCATATCATGCTTGTAATGAATCGCATCGCAAATCGTCTGGGCGAAAATTGCCATTTTCAACACTCTTGGAAAACAAAACATTCCAGTCCATTCCAACTAACAAATTACTGGTTTAACATGTATGTATGTATATTGTCAGTCTTTTACAGTTCTTACTTTCAGTTTTTTTACAATGGCATCCAAGACCCCAATATAGGTACAGTGTTGTCAACTATAAAGTATAAAAGTGCTGTTGTCAGTTCTTACTTATTTCACATCTATGTTATAGATTACCTAACCTATATGAATGCTTATAGGCAATAGAAGTGACCATGACAAAAGCCTATAAGGAGCAGCTGTCAGATTGTAATAACTGCTAAAATCAGTCTGATAGGTTTTGACTTTACATAGGCCATTACAAAGGTGTGAACAGTCATATTTCATTTTTATCAGATCTCTCAATCACACTGCAAGTTGTGCAGCATTGTTACATTCCTTTGATGTGCCAGTTCACATATTTGTAATGGCCCAACTACAACAGCGGTTATACAGACAGACAATATTTATTTTTCTCTATTATGCTACGATAAAGATTATTTATTAATAACCTAATGATAATTAATTATTAATGATTTCCAGATCTCCAAAAGGGAAATCACCTGCAGCGGCTCCCCATTGTTGATTTGGGAGGTTGAGTGGCAGATATGTGCCTGCTGGTTAGATGGTGATGGATTATTTGTATCCGGTATGTACACTCAACCATGTTATCAATACTAATATTATTAGGTAGTGTCCAACCGAAACTGGTTTTCGGGCCGAAACCAAAACCGAATGTTCTGAAACTTGTCGCAAGTTCATGCACGTTAATGCTCGCCTTACTTCCTTTCCCGCGGCAACGCTTTGACGGCTGCTGTCGGCCCTGGTGGCTTACTCTTGAATCCAATTCCGATCGATCGACATTGGCATTGTGAAATGTCGTACTCTTGAGTTGTAACACTAGCGTCCATTGCATCCGTATTGCGTGGATATTGAATGAACTAAATGGTATTGAGTTTCTCTTTATATTCCGTACTCTGAATGCTATTGTAACAGCTACGATTGTGGTTGTATAGTGTTGACATTGAATAATTATTCAGATTTTATTGGATTGAGATTGCATTG